TCAACCTTTCTGATTTTGTTCCTGATTCTATGCATGATCTAGAACAGGGGTCTCCAACCTTGGTGACTTTAAGCCTAGTGGACTTCAACTCCCAGAATTCCCCAGCCAGCAAAGCCAAGTCACCAAGGTGGGAGACCTCTGATCTAGAATGTTCTACCCAAACTCTACTCTGTTACTTTTCTCCCAAATCACAAGAAATGGGTCATTATTAACCAGGGGCATTCACAGGGTAGAACAGGTGATGTCACTTTTCACTTTGTATGATGATGTCGAGATGCATTGGGCATTCATTGTGGCTTTTACTGGCTGCCTATGTTTATCTTATTTCTTCCCTGTTGATTGGTTAATGGCTATAATGTTATATTTCTTCCCATTGTGATTGCCTACTTTTGCAAGAATGACATTGACTTATATTCTGGAGCTAGCTATTGTGCCCTGAAGACTGTTCCAGAAAATGAAAAGATGTATACCACAGTTCTCCAGCAAAAAAGCAACAGAGGTTTGTAAAAATCTTGATTTTCACATGTACATCATTCTGATTCTGAGTTATTCTCCTCCTTCCTTTTGTACTATAGGTGAGGGAACCTGATCAATTCTACCCTCCCTTCCCTCCTTGCCCTTCCACTCATTATATGTTCCTTAGCACAGAAGGGACCAGAACTCAGGATTTGGCAGCTACCACTCTTTAGGTCTTCAAACTTGCCAAGTGTAAGACTTCTGGACTTCAACTCCCAGAATCCCTGAGCTAACATAACTGGAGGAGGAATTCTGGGAGTTGAAGTCCACAAGTCTTAAAGCTGTCATGTTTGAAGGCCCCTGTTTTAGGTTAACCATTCAATGATAAGTGGCTGAAGAATCAAAGTTCCAGATCACAGTGACAAGAAAAATGAGATTCAGATACAGGTGGGAAGAGGGAAGGAGATGCTTCACAAAAGACCTAATGGAGCATCTGCCTGTCCCACCAGATCCAATAGAATGAGTTAGAACAGCATTTGGCAGGCTCTAACCAGCAGGCCTTTTCTGTTGTGGTACTTGCATTGTGGAAACTTCAACCTCCTCCCCCAGAGATGAGGTTGTCCTCATCACTCCTGAATTTCAGATCAGTCTTTTCCAACCCACTTTCCCAAAAACTTTGGGTTTGCTGCTTCCAGAATATCCAACAATGGGAACTATAGGAAATCTGTATTAACATATTTAGAAGTTTCCAGTTTACATCAGTGGACAATTGTCCCAGATTAATAATTATTTTGTCTTCCAAGGAATTTTGGGAACTTTGGAACCGAGAAGGAAACTTGACATTCCTAATAGTACAACATGCTTCCAATCAGATTAAAACAAGAGTGTGTCTGATAAAACACACATTTGAGAACCCACTTTTTATTTTTAATCATATACTGTGCTGTAATAGCCTTGCTGGATGAGTTGATGGCTTGCATTAAACCATCAATTGTTTAAATTATTGTTTATTGAGCAAGCTATAATGGTCTTATGTATATACAATTCAAAGTCATGGTTTATTAGAACACAGTGACTAAACTTACATGTCATACTAGATCAGAACCAAATAAAGCACATTAAGGCTTATGAGCCCAGTTGTGGTGCAGTTAACTAGAAAATGACTCATGGTGCATTCAACTTACAGTAACTTCAGCCAATTGCTCAATCTCAATTTTCATAACTGAATCGTGCTAAGGTTTCTTTTAATTCCTGTTGAAATTCCAAAATAAATTAAATCATACACCCATTCCATTGATAGTCTTGTCGTTTTGCTTCTGGGCAGGTCGGAAAAGACTACGACTGTTTGAATATATTCTTGAGTCTCTTCATAATCCAGACATGGCAAACTGTATCCAGTGGATAGATAAAACCAATGGTGTCTTCCAGTTTATTTCCAAAAACAAGGAGAAATTGGCAGAACAGTGGGGGGAACGCAAAGGGAACCGGAAAGTCATGACCTACCAGAAAATGGCAAGAGCCCTGAGGAATTATGGGAGAACGGGAGAAATAACTAAAATTCGAAGAAAGCTGACCTATCAGTTTGGTGCTGTGGTTTTGCGAAAGCTCTCTCTAGCCTGCTTTTCAGGAAAAGATGGAAATATTGATGATCAATTTGTTAAAGCTGAACAGGAATGCCTGTATGCAGCTGACTGGCTTACTTATCAAAACTGCATAAACCAAAAAGGCTGTGACCTTCAACAGGACAGCAGCCTTACAAGTTCATTCTACTATGAAGCTTACTAGATGAAACTTTTTCCTCATGATGTCTCTCCCCACAAACTTATGTGGAATGATTAACTCATCAGAAAACAGCTACCAGATTCAAGCCCCACCACCTTTTAGGCTAATCTGGTATAGTCTGCAAAAAGATTTTGCTGGGAGTAAGCTCTGTTGAACTTCAGAGTAGGCGTTTAGAGAACTGAAGTGCCCCAGTTGGCACTTCGTGATTAATTGCATCAAGTCTTACTAAATACGAGGGTTTGCTTCTGCGTAGTCATGCATGTAGGCATTCATTCCCTCTCTTGGCTTATAAGGAAATCTCTTTTATTTCAGTGAATTTTCTGTATCTTACCTTTTTTTTTTTTGAAGGAAACTTACTGAACTTAGTCCTTCCTGATTGATTTTAGTACTGCAATAAAAGTTAGAGGTGTAATATAAATACATGGAATAAATATACATGTGTAACAAAATGAATGCATATGTTAACTGGATTTTGTTTCAGAAATGTTTCTGGATTTTGTTATACCTAAAATATATTAAGAATGACTAGCTTCTGTCACCTTTACAACTTCATTTAAATCTTAATTTCTGTGCTTAATTTAAGTGCAGTTTTCTTTATCTTTGTTCCTGTGCTGGCTGTAAATGTAAACTGGAATCTGTTGCATTTCAAGGACAATGGGCTGAAGTATTATTTCCTAAAACATGAATG